ATGATATCAAGGGTATCAAGAATGCATCCCAAGAGATGGCTGATGATCTGTTTGAGGCCAAGCACCTCCAACAGTCGCCAGCCAAGATGCAGCGGCTCGCAGGCCTCAGCTCAGCGAGCGAAGAGCAGCTTGCAATCCCTTCATTCGAGCGGCTGCCTTATCAGAATTATTGCCCGAAGTGCAACTACGATATCGGCTACATGCGGGACAAGTTCAGGGAGAACCACATTTGCGGATCCTACTGCTTTGGGGTCTGTAGGACCAGGGTTTCCTATTCCGGCTCCTACATTAGGATACTGTCGATGATAATAATTCCTGCATTACCTCAAGAGCCCTAAACTAAGGGAGTTATGATATTTTCCTTATTTATTGGGTAATGCAGAGTTCCCAAACCCTAAACCTTAAACCCTAAACCCTAAACCCTAAACCCTAAACCCTAGACCCTAAACCCTAAACCCTAAACCAAAACCCTAAACCCTAAACCCTACAGTAGTGATGATTCGGACATCGAGCTGTGAGCCCTGTTACATGGTCCTTGGCAGCTCGTGCTTCAGGTTTAGGGTTAGGGATTAGGGTTTAGGGTTTTAGGGTTTTAGGGTTTTAGGGCTTTAGGGTTTTAGGGTTTTAGGGTTTTAGGGTTTAGGTTGGCTGCTTGCTTGGTAAAGTCACACGGCAGCCGATTTCAGCTGATGACAATTTTCTGCATTTAAGAGCACTTGTATACTTTAACGTATATTGGTCAGTCAAAGTGTCGTGGTCATTTGGGTGAATCCCGTTCCCAGTTCCTCCCCGATGAGCTTGAAACGGCCAGCCCTTCGCGACTTCCAGATCTTGGGAAGAGCCATCGGAGGGTTTGCAGCACACTTACAATCACCACATTATCGGCAAAATGCTAAAATTCCCAACCCGATAGCCTAAAACCAAAGACTCTGGTCACGTAAGCGCTAGAACATCCTAGCACCAAAGAACCTAAACCTAAACCCTGAACCCTAAACCCAAAAAAAAAAGTCTGAACCGTCTCAGCCTCCTGAAGCCCCTACCTGGGCCCAACCTGTTTGTTTAATTCCTTGTTCTGCGTTCCTTACATGTTTAAGGTTTAGGATTTAGTGATAAGTTTCCTTAGAAAAGTCCTTAAAAGGGGTAGGCGGTTTAGGGACCAGGAACCCTAAACCCTAAACCCTAAACCCTAAACGACGTAGAAACCCTAAACCCTAAACCCTAAACGACGTAGAGCAAGAAAAACAGGTATGAGCGCTGGCTCGACCGAATCATCGGTGACAAGCTGCAGGCCCGACCTACTCGGGTTTAGGGTTTAGGGTTAAGGGTTTAAGGGTTTAGGGTTTAGGGTTTAGGTTGCGGCTTCAGGGTGTGTGCAAGGATGTGTTTGCTGGAGGAAGTGCTTGGTCTAGACTGTGTTTGCGTTTTTGAACCCTAAACCCTGAACCCTAAACCCTGAACCCCAAACCCTAAACCCTCAACTCTAAACCGGGCTTGAGGTTTCCCAGGTTTGGCGACCCGAGGCTCGGGTTGCGCCGATTTCTACCTTTCTTCTTTGCAGTTCGCCCAGAGCAACGGAAGATGGCGAGTTGTGGGTTGGCCCAAAAGTTTGGGTTTAGGGTTCAAGGTTCAGGGTTTAGGGTTTGAGTTTTAGGGTTTAGGTTTTGTTTTAGATTTCATGGTTTGGGGATCCTAGAAAAGCAACCGGCAAGGTCCGACAGCTTCATGATCTGGCCACGTCCTTCGAGCAAACGCGGCTTGTGCCGCCGGTGGCCCAGAGAGGGTTTCGGGTCGATGGGTTCGGGTTAGGGTTTAGCGTTCAGGGTTGATCGGGGATTTCGGGGTTTAGGGCTTGAAGTTCTAAGTTTGAGGGCTTGAGGCTTGAAGCAGAGTCTTGCGATTCCGCTGAAGTTCTTGAGGGAACTGCCCCTGCCATTGATTTCAACATCCGGAACTTCTGTCATAACCCCCTAGACCCCAAGGCTTTGCAACCGCATGCTCGGTCTTGGGTACACGGAATTCCGGATTCTCAACGCCTTTCTTGACAAGGAGGTGTCAAGTCGAAATGCATCCAATGCTGCAAAATCGACAGCTCTGAGTCGTCAGAAGCTCCGACCGAACCGATGATGTTGTTAACGAGCCTCATCATGTTCATGATGCCCCTGCTGCTCGTGATCTTGCGGCTCTGATCAACATCATCATCATCATCATCATCATCATCCTCATCCTCATCCTCAGCATCATCATCATCATCATCATCATCGTCATCTTTCGCTCCACCATAACGGTCACCATTGTCACCACCATGATCATCACCTTCATGTCCTTCATCATGATCATCAACACCACATCACTGACATCATTAGTAGGGGCCTAAAGAATTACCTATACTATTTTGGAGACTGCTTGTTATAATTGTAGTGTAATGGGCCCCAAAATCCTATTCTTATTATTAAGGCCCCTACATGGGCATCGCCACGGTCGGAAACTAAACCCTAAACCCTAAACCCTAAACCCTAAATGTTTCGTAGGAATCCCCAAGAGCCCCAGAAAAAGCCACGCTGGGCATCTGCGAAGCTTGCGGTCCAAACTCTCGACTTCGAAAGTTAACCCAGGATCCTCCACCCTGATCCAGGATTTAGGGTTTAGGGTTTTTGGGTTTTGGGCTTGGGTTTTGGGTTTTGAGGTTTAGGGCTTAGGGTTTAGGAAGTCCACCATCAAACTGGGCTTCAGTCCGCGATCCTCAAACAGCAACCCTCAACCCCAAACTGCCGGGTTTCGGTTTAGGGTTTAGGGTTTAGGGTTGCCCTGAACCCTTTGCCCAAAGCCCTTGCTAGGCCCAGACATCCAAACCGTGAGACCAGGGGCCGAACTAATTACCAAAACTATTCTGGGGTTCCTTATTTTTATAATTGGTTTAGGGTTTAGGGTTTAGGGTTTAGGGTTTAGGGTTTAGGGTTTAGGGGGTTGTATACTGGACCCCAAAACCCTATTCTAACTAGCAAGGCTCCTATATTACCCTAAACCCCAAACCCCTAAACCCTAAACCAAAAACCAGTGTCCGCGGAGCGCTCAGCTGCTAGAGCCGAACACCCCTCAACCTTGCACCCTACACTGTGGGTTTGGGGTTTAGGGTTTAGGGAAGCCTACTGTTGATGATATAAATCCTGCATTACCTTAAAAACCCTAAACTATGGGAATTTATGGTATATTCCTTGTTCTGGGTGTTGCAGGATTTTTATCATCAACCGCAGGACCTTGGGTTCAGGGTTTAGGGTCTTGAAGGAATCCCTTGAAGTGGCATTGATCTCAGGCCACCGATGCACGTCGAGGAGGAGGTGCTCGGCCAATCTGTGGATCACCAGGACGGCCCCTTTGGGATGGCTTTAAAGTCCCAAACCCTAAACGCTAAACCCTAAACCCTAAACTATGGGGCTTTGTGGGTTTTGCAGCCGAGAGCTGGTGGTCAGGGGTTTAAGATTCAGCGGCTGTTTGTGATGCTTTGCCTTTGAATGTTGGCTTGCAGTCTCCAGCCCATGATGTGGGCTATTTGGGGGTTTAAGGTTTAGGGTTTCCGGGGTTTTGGCTTTTGGGGACCACTAGTGGCTTGTCAGGGTTCGTCGGATGTTTCAGTCGCGATAGCAGGTGCCGAGTAGATGTTTGAGGCCTCATATATGCAAGCTTGTGGCGCGACATGCTAATTACATGAACAATCAGAAGCTTTGTTTCAACAGAGTTGTCACAGTTGTTGATGACAAAGGTTTAGGTCATTACGATGATGGTGTTGATTGCGCTTGTGATCATGCTGATGATGACGATGCTGGCGATGTG